AGTCAGTTGGCTTTGAACAAAGACGATGGTGCGGTCCGGGTTCCAATTCAAGTTCGATTGAACGGAGACGCCTAAAGAGCATCCAACACGTTGCCAACACGGGTCAGCAAGCCCGCCCCCACGGTTCGCTGCATCATCGCATGCCGTTATAGGCCAAAGCAGCCTGAGCTCGCACACTTTAACCTCTATAAAGTATATCAGATTTCGGCACATACAGCAATATACATCGCGAGCAAGAGGCATTCAATCCTCTAATCCACTTGAAGGCCTTTGCAGCAGTTAAATGCCGAGAATCGAAAACGGGTCGACGGCTTTGTTATTACCCAAAGGATATCCTGATAGCCTGAAGAAAAAACTTAGCATGGGAAGTAATACGACCGGACTGTCGCGGACATTAAGGTCAGTTGACTAGGAAACATGCTACGATGCTAGCATACTACCTCAGAGGAACATGGATAATTCCGTGGCGGAGACAGTAGACAGCATATTTCCCAAGAGAACCAAAAGAGAACCTCACTTGCAGCCAGTGGAGAGTACTGTCACCGTCACCGTCACCGGGGTATCCTGGATTTTGCCGGATTGCCGGGTCGGGTACGGGTCAGCATGTGGAAACCCGGGGTATACCCGGCTGACCCGTTCCATTGGCATATATGCTTTATTTTTCTACAGTGCTTTGGGGGCTACACCGGCTGTCTCGTAGCATCACTCAGTTCAAGTTTTAATCACTGGCTGACCATGCATCATCGATTTATCCCTGGTTAGGGTATGGACTTAGAACCGGTGACGATGATAGCCATTTTTCTCTATTTAATAATATAATACTATTTCTGACTTTGAATGTTTTCGATTGGTGCACTAGGCATCCCGGCTGAAGTTGAACGGTGAACACCTTACCCGCTGGTCCGGGCGAAAACCCTGCGGGCACAGCTGCGGCCACTGTTTCAGGCGGGTCAAAGCAGAATCAAAATCCTTCAACATCTCCTTACTCGCAAGGACGGAGTGCGAAAGCGAGAGGGAGAGAGCTTCCCGGATTTTGATGCCATTTTCACTCGCCCAAAATAGTCGCCACCCAGCTATGGGGTACCCGGGGTACTGTAGGTTGGGGCGAAACCCCAGGGCAGGTAAGTTACGGTTTTGCACTGACCCCTCCTTTGATACAGTAACAAAAGCAAAAATTTCAGTCTATATTTTAGAACAGCACATGACGGACGCAGACGCGCCGTGCGCGTGCATCCTTGTCTTTGCATTGTTTTGATCTCACGAACCTTGCTTCACCTGAAAATGTTGCATATCTATGATTGCACATTGTAAATAACGTATATGCAGTGCTATTGACTTATCATTCACGGTCATATGACAGGTACATTACCTGGACCAACGTTTGAAAATCCCTCCCACGATGGGAGGTAACTTCCTGGTAACTTAACTGTCCGAAACCCCGGTGTAGCAGGACTATGGTTTCGTGCGCAACTCTACGGTACGGGTTCACTCAATTTTCACTTCCTGGACCCGGGGGTTTTATTCACTATCTGGTATACATCTTTTTCCGCGGCTTTGTTCGGGCTCATGGTGGCTAAAAAGACGAGGAATCTTCCTTTGAGTTCCAGCAAAGCTATGGCGAACTTCCCCACCACCACTTACACTGATTGGGCCCGCGCAGACCAATACCATAGGTCTTTCCTTATGCCAAAGGACGACGTTCTCCATGCTGCTCTCCAGAACAGCGACGCTCATGGACTACGGACAGAGATATCCGTCAGCGCTGCGCTCGGCAAATTTCTGAACTTACTTGCTAGGTCTATTGGTGCAAAGAAAATCCTTGAGGTAGGGACACTTGCAGGGTAAGCATCGTACTCGTGTCACTGTTAACTGCCTTTGTAATGGTTATTTGTAGGTATTCGACTATATCTCTGGCAAGAGCACTTCCCAAGGATGGAAAGGTTATCTCTCTTGAACTCCACGAACTCAATGCCAAGGTAATATCAGGTGGTCATTATCTTGCGCTCAAAGTCTTATTTCAGCTTAGGTCGCCTCGGAAAATATTGCACTTGCTGGTTTGGCCTCTCAAGTTGAGATTATCGTCGGCCCTGCACTCGAAACCCTCGCAAAGTTTCCAACCGAACATAAATTTGACCTGATATTCGTCGATGCGGATAAGCCGCCAATGACTGAGTATTTCGCGGAGGCGAAACGGTTGATAAGACGAGGAGGGGTTATTGTGAGTATATTGGAGAGTTGTTGTCCAATGTACTTGACACATGGTATGCGTAGATCCTCGATAATGTCGTTCTGAATGGCGATGTCGCCAAAGAACAGCTTCCAGATACACTCTCAGATTATGACAAAGGGAAAGTTAAGGGGATTAAGAGGCTGCTTGATTCGATTAAAGGAGACAAAGAAGTCGAGGCTACGACTATCTGTACCGCTGACGAGAAGGGTTACGACGGCTTCATGTATGTCATTCGAAAGTGACTCGGATAGTACTTGTATTTTTGAATCGGGCTCGTTAAGTACTGATGCTTGTGGATCGGTCTGTGAATAAATTGAAAGGATCAACGTGGGAAATGGACATTGAACAGGCGACATCGGTCCTTCGCGTGACGTCAGGCGGTGCACTGGGAATACCTAGGATGGAGGACACATAGAATGAACTGCTCACAGAAACATCCCGGCAGTATATATAGATTTAGTCCACGTATCGATCGATAGTCGCGAATTAGGTCCCCCAGCCTGTTCCTTTCCTTCTCATTATAGGCTCTTGCTTCCGCGTCAAGTCTTACGCTCAAGCTCATCTTCTTGCTGCACCAGTCTCGTGCTTCTTGGGATGTTCCGACACAGATATCGATCTTGAAGGCGCACAAGGCATTTGCGCCGACATGAAGGCCGCCGTCGAACTCGTAACAATAGGTGGATGAAGCATTATTCGCAGTTACCAGTTTGAGGATACGGTGGATGGGGTGGGAGACTACCGACCTCAATCGGCAACGCGGAGAAGATATTACCTGACCCAGCGGGCGATGTCAAGGATTGAGAGCCTTCGGTGAATTGAATTGGAGGTCTCCTACATGATATCATCCTAACGCTGGTCTGGCGCAACGGATATTGCTTCTATGGATTTAGCACTGAGTTCGATTCCCCCGGATACTACGGAGCCTTTGGGATAATCTGCCCAACGACGATTGGGCCCATTGGGGCCGATGTGCATGTGGGGAATGTGGGATCGGTCGCGGTGGGTATCGGGGCGAATGCGGGCAGGCATAGGTCGCATCATGAATGAGCCATGTAATAGTCGTCGTCAAGAGGTCGGCAGTCAATATTGCCTTGCGTGAGGGATTGCGCACGGAGTGGGAGGTGAAATGGTCGCTATCCGGGGCTCTTGGGGGCCGCCGAATAAACGAAAACTATCTAAAATGCATCATAAGTACGGAAATTTGAGACCACCGAACCTTCCGCAACCAATCCCGAGAAGGCTTGGTGGGAAGGTATAATTTGAGGCCGGATTTCCTAAAATTTGCCCGACGAAGTTTGGCGGAGGCTTCTGGGGGCTTCCGCGAAGTCGCTCATGAAGGGAGGACGACCCTCGCTACTCGGAGCTCAGGCAAACTTTTAGGAATATGTTAAGAAGGAAACGACGGAACCGGAGGATACACGAGTCAGAAAACGAAGGTCGCGGGTGACAGAGCATGAAGCTAAAGAGTGACAGGAAAGCGACAGCAAAGTTAGGCGTAATCTATGTTTAACGCAGGAGAGAAGTTAGCTGCGAGTCGTGTTGATGACAAATTCACGGCTTGCATACCAAGTTCCAAGTGGGCCGGCCTTCCGAGTCAGAAGAAGTCACGTCGAGCCGCGAAACAGCGAAGATTTGGATCCCAAAGGTAACTATTTTTCCCTAACTAGCCACAATGTCTTGTGTATGGCCACATCCAAAATGCGTTCAAGTCGTTTGTTGGTGGAAACGCACTAGAATTGCACTTGAAAGGCAGTTCCACGAGACCTACAAAAGATATTGGTGATCTATCGAGGAGTAAGCATCTTTCCGGTGTCTCTTTAGATATTGACCCGCGATCAATAGGCAGCCTTTTGGACATACAACAAACCGTGCACTGTGTTCCGGACATATGGGTGGGATCCACAAATGGTACCGGCCGAACGCGATGCCTACCGAGGTGAACAAAATCCCGGGGAGATCAGAGGCCCCTGGGATTCACAAGCACAGCTTCAAGATTTGCGAGCGATTTCTTTCACCCACTGTTTTGGCACCGCCAAGTATTTCCATGACATAGAAGATGTGGTGGGTAAGAACCGCCGAAAAAGAGAAAGACAAGGCAGGAGCAAGAAGCGTGTGCGTTCGGGACATGATGGTGATGATGAATACGACGATGATACGGAGACTGATGATGACGTGGACTGCGACGATGAAGCCTCTGGCTCATGAACAAGAGGTGGTGGATAATGAGGAGCGTAACATTATAGCGCAGATGATGCTGATCTGGCTGGCGAATTGTTGGTCCATCCAGGCTAAGCCGTACGATACTGAATCGTCATAGCGGTGAGCGAATGGTCACCATGATGATGGAGAAGAGGAGAATGCATTTGACATTTGCTTTGCATTTCTGTCCTAGCACCTTCGAGTACGCTGGAAACATAGAAATCCCCATTTATCAATATTCTCGTCGCCTTCGACGATATAGACCTGTCCTCAAAACGGCTTGCCGCCCGGACCCAAAGGAGCAAATTTTGAACATGCTAGCTTCGGACTTCCTCGTCCATTCTGGTATCGCATTCCGACCGAATACGATCCAGCACTAGCCTGTGATTGATATGTCTTCAGGATCTTCGCTTGCCTCAAATCGGCAGTGGATTTCGTGGAGGCTTGGAGACCGTATGGAGGAACACCAGTCGACAAGTGCCCCAACACGACGCTAAAGAGCTTGCGCTACTAAAGAACTGAGGGAATCGGATCGCTGTTCTTGATCTGCAAGACTGAGTAGCACTTCGTTGCATTAATGGGGTAGTGGTAACCTGAGTCGTTGCCATTTCATGTTGTTAAGATAGTTTTCTCGAACCGCCGGGGGTTCGATTCCCCCTTAATGCATCTACGTCTTTTCTAAGTTAATGTTTTTACTACTGGGTACTCAGTCTTAGTAACTCCTCACTAACTAGTACTGAAAGCTGAAAAGAAGTACTAGTGGTTTCGACTAAGACGACGACCCAGGCTTTCACATCTACCGAGTACGTATAGGGAATGGCTGGTTTTGGCTCTTGGAATATCGCAAGTCTCTCCAACGTCCAACGATGCCTTACATGCGGGATTATACCAACTGATAGCTTAGAGCGTCTATGGTATATTTACTTCCCTACTATGCACAACAATACAAAAAACTACAGTTGACCACTAGATGATTCCACATAAAAGAGATCTAAGAGCAGAAGCGACAGCACGGTATTAGGATGGTATTAGATTAGTGATATACGGCGCAGGCGGGGTCGTTATCCAACTCTCCGAGCGCGCCTCCCTTGCACTCAAACGCTTTTGAGGATCGACGCACACAATTGTGCGCAAGAAAGCACAGAAATGTTCGCGTTCAGGCGATGGGGATTTCCATACGCCTTTAACGATCGCCTCCAAAGAAGTCATTTGGAGCGGGAAGGGACATCGGAAGGTTCCTGGAAGATACAAATAAGCAAAGTGCGACTAGCCATCGGAGAAATAGCTCACCGTCTGCATCATAGAACTCTGCACCCCGTCCCTTGGTTCCAGGATCCCTCATCCACTGTGGAACCTCGGCAACCTGCTCGATAATCTGCAGCAGGTGTATCTGAGCGGGGGTCATAGCCTCGTAATCTGGCGTGGGTTGGAAGAATGGGTCAAAAAGGGGACCGCCTGTGGCAAACTCGTACACCAGGCAACCTAAATTCCAGATGTCGATCTTCTCATCCCAATTCAAACCCAAAATAACTTCGGGTGCGCGAAGGGCATGTGGCTGAACGTTTGATGAAGGGTGGCGTTTGTGAGGAAGCTGGACGGCGTGGCCTAGGTCTGCTAGGACGAATCTCCACTCTGATTGGTCGAGAGAGAGGGCATCGGGTAGGGACAGGAGGATGTTTCGTGGCTGGACGTCGGTGTGAATGAGGTGTTGGGAATGAAGAAAGTCGAGTGCGGCCAAGACGTCGTTTGTGATGCGTCTCACGATGGGCAACGGTAGCCAGCGACTGCCAAGGTGCTGCCTGAGATCGCTGAGGGTTGGGCCGTGAAGGGAAAGTACAAGACATGTCGATGGAAATGGGGCGGGGACGGGGCGAACAGGGAGCGCGGCAGGGAGGGAAACTCGTCTGCTCCGTTGTCGCTCACCGAAAGTGAAATGGTCGAGCAGTTTGACGAGCTGGTCTGGTGGGTGATCCAGTCGCAGATGCTTTGACAATTCGCGAGTCCGTTCGCCCGCTGTCGTGAGGACCTTGATGGCGACTAGATTCGATGCAGGCGGCGAGAGATATGTCAAGGCTGTGTGGAAGGAGGCGCCGTCGTCGACATCGACAGCGTCCTCTTTATCCGTCTGTGCCAACCACACCGTCGAGAACCCCCCATTCCCCAGGGGCCGTACCAACGTGTACTCAGACCCACGGCCCAGCACAGTCCCAGGCGACAATTCCGGTGCCTGTGTAGGCGAAGCCGGCTTGGGTGGGCATGTCCTTGAGGGCGATTTTTGTTTCGACGAATGAGCGAGATTGAAACGAATGGCGAATTTGAACTTGAGGGCAGGCGTCGTGAAGAGAGGGAAGAGCTTAGGGCGCTTGGAGGACTTGGTGGTCATTGGTGAAGCAGCTGCGCATGTGGTCGCTGGGCATGATTCAGTTGGTGAGAATTCATGATAGAGCGGTCAACGGGATCAACTGTCGAGTTACGGCAATTTCCGATCATCACCTCTCTTTGTCTTTCTTTTCTCTCGTAAGGGGTCCCATCACTCGAATTTATTCTGCTGGTATGTCCTTGCCTATGCGCTTCTCAGCAGATCTCACGCTGATTTGCTAAATCTGAATTTCGTGAACAGATCGCCGTATCCTCGGACGGCGACTATATATAAAAACAATGATGAACGGCCCGGAAGCTGGTATTGCGCTTGGAACGACGTCTAAGCGCATAGCCTAGAATTCGGCTAAGGCTCAGAGTAAATTAGTCTTTCCTAGACCGGTAGACTCAAACTACTCACCCCAATCTAAGGAAATATCTATCCACAGTTCTGAATCGTACCACCAGAAATTGTCAGTGGAGTAGCTATTTCCTACTTCTCTTTACATGGCGTCGGTATATCGTAATCCAACAGACGATCAATGATGCGTGATGCCCGAGTCGAAGAATTTACCGTATGTCCGCGTCTTATAATCACCGACTCCTTGTTGAATGCTTCGGGCCGAGCTGCTGCATACTCGACGATAAGTCCGTATCAACGTTTGAAGATTATATACAATCTATTAATAATGAACTGCAAAGGAAACGCTCGGGGACGTCGGAGGTCTCATGAACCGCCGGGGACCTGCGGTCGAGGATGGAAGCTGAAGTCTTGAATGGAGGGCTACATAACTCGGGCATCGTGAGTTGGGGATATACTATCTTGTTGGGATTCGAAAGGGAAAATTGTTGCCGTCTCCTTGAAATTGGGGAGCCTAAGGAAAGCACCATGGAAACAGATGACAACTTCTTGAGAGTGAATGTGGCGTAATTAGACATTATCGATTAGAAGCATCATAGGCCTGCCGGCTCATACACCCTGAATTATCTCTATGTATGGTAGTAGGCATAGCATGTTCTGAATGCATTGCAAATTATACTTCCAACTTCCAAAGGGACTGACAGTTACGATGTTGTCACGTGATCGTGTCTATTACTTTTCTTCGGAACAGTCAGATTACCACGCCTCCCAGTGAGGCTGTTCCCACTGACAGTGAAACTGTCACTCCGAAAATGAAGTTTCTGGAGAGTTTCTGATGCTCAGAAACTAATCCTGAAACTAGCAATATACCATATATGGTTATGCGCTCTGTCCCGACACAGTCCCTGGGCGGGACATGCCCCGCCAAGTTTCATGATTAGTTTCTGGCCGTCAGAAACTCTCTGGAAATTTTTACTTTTTTCGGAGTGTGTAGTAACCAGTCATTCAAAACTTTCCTACCTCCATAGCGACTCGTGGCAAGTATAAGCACCCTCATAACCCCATGGATAACCAGAAAAAAGTCATAATAGACGGCCTGAACGAAATGATTACTTCGCTGGGTCTTGAATTCACTACTAGTCAACTCCTCAACGGAGCGTGCAAATCTTTAGATGATTTCTCATACACGAAGCATACCGACGACTCCCAAGTAACTGCAACGCAAGCTCTTCATCGTCCTCAATACCTCCAGACTTCCGGTTTTGAGTGCTCTTCTGGCGTTTCGAAGGAGGGCTTACAGCATCGTCCTCATCGTCAGTACTGAAGTCGAACGTCGGAGAGACATAACCGTCATCCTCCGGTAATGGCTCCACGACAGGTCCATCATCTATCTAAAAGAGACGCGCAAGTCAGGTTAACACGAAAAGAAAACGACTGGGTTGACATACCATCCCCACCTCCCTCTCCCTCTCCTTCCTCTTCCTCTTCTTCTCGCGTTTCTTCTCCCTCGCCTCCTCCTTATCCACAACATCCGCAATCCTCATCTTCCCCCGCTCACCCTCGGCGTACTTCGCTCCCTCCTTCATCACGCCCTCCATCCCGCCCCTCTCCTGGACCCACTCCTCCGCATCAGCCACCCCATACGCCTCCCTCGCCTCGCCCGCATCGTTGAACACTATCTTCTTCGACGAGGGTGTGTTCAGGATCAACGTCCGCTTCGCCCGGCCGAGCTTGAGTTTTCGGTTAGGACAGGTTGTCGATTTTGACGAGGCTGAGAGGCTCGGCGGACGGGTCCTCTTCGAGATCGTGGTCAGCTCGTTTGAGGGTCATAAAGTCGTCATCGTCGTCCCCTGGCTCGCGGGAGACGAGTTTGTTGTAGTGCTCCGATAGGACACCTTGGTTTTTTCGTTCGAACATCCGATCGTATTTCGTTCGTACGGTATCAGCCTCATGGACGGGTGATCAGTTTAGGAGACCTTGAACAAAAGTCGGTGGTATACCTTAGTCGTCGTCTGTTCTAAAACATTTTCTTCTTCTTCGCTCGATGAATCCTCTCCCACCTCGGACCCGCTATTTTCCTTCAAGGCTTCGGCTGTTGCTTTAGCAGCCGTCCGATCAGCGTTCTTCTTCTTTTTCGCCATCTCCTTGCTGAGGAACTTGATCTTCGGCGTGCCTGGAAGGCCCTAAGATTCCGCGAACTGATCGACAGGTAGTTCCGATACTTTGAATATGGACTTGTCTTTGTGGAGGTAGACAGATCGTAGGTAGGATACGAAAGCCTGCATTCAAACAATATCAGGCATGGGGGAAGACGTCTTTTCGGGATGAAACTCACTCTCTGACCGAGGTATTTAATCTCTGGATCTTGGAATGCAAGATTTTGGAGTTGATTGTCGGATGTTCTGCTGTTTTGCTCCCTCGGACCTTGAGCTTGTCGACGATGATCGACTTTGTTTTGCAGGGCGGCCAGCATGCCTTCTTCTTCGCTTGGCATCAAAAAGATGAGGCCTTTACCCTTGCTTTCATATCGTGCTGTTCTGCCGACTCGATGAATATAGGTATCCGCGTCTTCCGGAGCGTCTACCTGCAAGACCCAATCTACCGACTGGAAAATCCAAGCCGCGTGCAGCAATATCGGTCGCAAACAACACTGAATGCTTGGATGTGGTGAATTTGTTATACATGTTAAGGCGCGCAGTCTGTTTTTGCTTGCCGTGCAGGTGAAGGAGTGAGATACCGGGATGCATCTTGCAAAAGGTTTCGTAAACGAAGCGAACCTGCTTACAACTAGACAGGAAGACAAGGACTTTGGATTGTAGATGCGACTTGATGAAACTCCAAAGTAAAGAGAGCTTTTGGTCCAATGTGCAGACGAGGTAGTGCTGCGATAGATTTTCGGGTGTTGCCATCGAACCAGAGGCGTCGTCGGCATCTTGTATGCCAACAT